TGCTGTCTTGCTCCCTTCTACCATCTTCCCAGTCTCTCATTGATTTTCTTTTAATTGATGCATTATAGTTACATATAAAATTGGACTGCATTGTGATATATTCACACATGCACATAGTATAATTTGATCAACTTTATTCTCCAAATTCTTCCCCTTTGCCTCTTGTCCTCCCTCACCCTTTATTTCCTATTTCTACTCCTATCCCTTCTATTTTATGGAAGATCCCCCAACTTTATTCCCTTTTGTCTCCCTAACTTACATTTATGAGAGAAGGCATTTGATCCTTGCTTTCTTAGTCTGACTTATATAACTTGGCATGATGTTCTCCAGTTCCACTGATTTACCAGCAAATGAAATAATTTCATTTTTCTTTATGGCCGAGTAGAACTCCATTGTGTGTATGTATATATATATATATATCACATGTTCTTAATCCATTCATCCTATTGGTCAGCACCTAGACTGGTTTCATAACTTGGCTATTGTGCTATAGAATACTGATTTGGGATTTTTTATATAATTACCAAGAAGTGGGAGAGCTGGATCATATGTGGTTCCATTTAGAGTCATCTCTACACTGCTTTCCAAATTGGTAGTACTAGTTGGCAGTGCCATCAACAAAGTATTAACATACTTTTTCTCCCACATCCTCAACAATTATCCTTATTTATATTCTTGATAATTGCCATTCTGGCTGTGGTAGTATGAAATCTCAGTGTTGGTGGCCACCCTGCGCAGGAGCAAAGGACATCCCCTCAGCCTTGAATAATGAAGGTATTGAACTGGCATCGCAAGCCACACACTGTGCGAAGCAAAGTGGGCCTTACCTTCGCTCTGCAAGGAAGTGCTTCAGCTCTGGGCTTGAGCATTACCCAAAGGGATTGGGCAACCCCGCTTCTGAAATTCTATCCCCTACCTTATTTGGTTGGAATATTCTATTGAATGTCTTTTCCTAATAAATAGAGGGGTTCCTCGTGCTCTCCTTCCTTCGAGCGTGGAAGAGGACCCTAGAGGCCCTGAGAAACTCATGTCGTGTGTTGCATGAACTGTTTGCCATTTTCTTAGTTTAATGTTGCAGCCAGCTCTTTTGAATGTGGATTTGCCTCTGTGCCTTTAATCCATTTCTAGTTCACTTTTATGTACTGTACAGGTCCAGCTTCATTCCTTTGCATGTAAATATCCGCTTTCCCAGCACCATAAGTTGATGAGACTCTACCTTCCCTATTGTCAGTTCTTGGTGCCTTTTGGTGATTGACTATGTGTGCATGGGTTTGTATCTGAGTTTTCTCTTGTGTTCCATAGTCATGTGGTATTCTCTACTCTCTTCTTTGTGTCAGTTTTCATGTCAGTATCTGAGTGGATTCTGAGAGTCTTACAGTATATTTGAAAATAATTACTGTAATACCTCTTCTTTGTTCTTCTTTTCTCAGGAGGAGATGGCTATTTATTACCTTTTGTGGTGTCATATGAATTAAAGAATTTTCTTTCAATATCTAGTAAAATTCCCATTGATAGATTGACAGGAACGTCACTGAATCTCTTGCTTTTGGGTAGCCTGGACATCTTAACTATCTTTATTCTTCTAATCCATAAGCACACTATATCTTTATATGCATGTATGTCTTCAGTTTTTCTCATCAGTGTTTTATAATTTGTATCATACATGTAAATTTGCTTTCTTTGAATTCATTTGGCTCAATTTGTTCCGAAGTATTTAGTTCTTTTTGGTGCAATTGTAAAAAGAATATTACTATTTGGGGGTTTTTTTGATAGATGATTATTAAGGATATAGAAATGCATCTGAGTTTCTCAGGTGGGTTTTGTCTCCTGAACCTTGAATGAACTTGTTAATTAGTTCTAACAGTTTTCATTGGAAAAGAGTGTAGCATTTCTCTATGAAGAGGACTTGTCCTCTGCCAACAGAGGCGGCCCTTCCTGGTTTGGATTCCTGTGGTTTCTTTTTCCTCTCAGATTCCTCTGTCTGGGGTCTTCAGCACTACATGGAACAGACATTGCTGCAGGGTGGGCAGCCTCACCTTGGTCATGATCTTAAGGAAAAGCTTTCCATTTTTCGGCCACTACATACAACATTTGATGTGATAGATCCTGTGTGCCCTTTTTTGTCTTGTGGTGCATTCCTTTTTACCTAATTTTTGTAGGCCATCCATCATGAAAGAGTGTTGATTTTTTTCAGAATCATCTTTCTACACCTAATGAGATAATATGATTTTATCTTTCATTCTGTCAGTACAGTTGACCACATTGAATTATTTTTGTGCTTTGAAACATTTTTGCAACTGGGATAAATCTCATTTGGTCCTAGTGTATGATTTAATCATGTTCTGTTGAATTTATTCTACCAGAATTAAGGATTTTTCTGTCTATGGAAATGAGGTATATTGCCCTGTACCTATAGGTTTTGCTAATATTACAGTAACTTTACAGTCTGGCCTATTCAAAGCTCATCCAAGTTGTATTAAGAATGCTCCTTCTCAGATAGGAAAGAGAAAGCTAAGCACAGCCCCACCATAATTCCTTTCTATGAACCTGAACTGGCCCTTCTGTGCTGTTCCAGGGATGGATCCACACATTGAGCAATCGCTGTGGGAGGCCAGGCCATAATACTCAGTGTGTCTCCTGGTACCATTAGTCCTGTACCAAATCCTGTGGCAAAAAGCCACAGCAGTTCTCACTTGCATTTACTGCAGATTTATATCATTGATGTGTCCTTTATCAAATGAGATCCTCTATAGAGACACCCTGAACACACCAATGAGTTCATGTAACAGCTTCCTTGACTTCTGTCCTTGTGGGCACAGACAGACCCTCCTCATCAGCCACAGTGTTCCTTGGTACATGGGGAGCAGATGTGGCCATCCATCCCCTGTACATGACTCCAGTTCTGGCCATTTCCAACAGTGCTGGCAGGATAAGTACCTAGCTTTCAACATGCTGGATGAAGGAAGGGACACATGCTAAGAACTTGGAAGGGTGCTGCAAGATGATTCTGAGGAGTATCCCTGGTCACATCTCCCAGGGGATCTGCCCAGGCCTCTGTCTCCTGTATTCTCACCAGGGCTGTTCAGCACGAGCCTTAAAACCTGCCCATCATTGGGGACAAACAAACAAACTCTCAGTAGTGTGTTGACCATGGTGTGTCAACATTCAAAGGTTCACAGTTACTATGTGCAGTGATTCCCTTTTGAATTGCAGGAATTTGTTCTTTGTCCCCCTAGAAAAATGAATTTCTCATGAAGTTTTACGTATCCCTGGGATGTTAATCTTGTATCACTCTAGGTTTTTTGGGGGGGAGGGTCCAATTTTATTTTATTTTAAGTTTTATTTATATTTCACAGCAGAATGCATTAAATTCTTAAAACATATACAGAGCACAATTTTTCATGTCTCTGGTTGTTTAAGGAACACTTTGCTAGTTGTAATTTGTCTTTCTAAGTATCTGTGTTCTTTTTGTTTTTCTATCAAGAGGCAGTCATTTCCTTTATGAATTCTGACCCTTGAGTCAGAAAAAAAAATGCTTTCAACTTAAATGTTATCAAAGTATTTTCTAAGAAGCTTTCTTTTTACATATACACTTAGACCTGCTAGATGAGTAGCACATAACAATATCCCAGTGATTTAGGAGGCTGAGGAAGGAGGATTTAAAGTTGGAGGTCAGTTTCCCCAACCTAGGAAGCTCCTCAGGAACTCAGTGAGACTCCATCTCATAAAGAAAAAAAAACTGGAGATGAGGCACTCACTAAGTGCCCCTGGGTTCAATTTCTAATACTAATTTAAAAAAAAAACCTAAAAATCTTGGATCTATATGGGATTTACCATTCAAAGAAAATTAATTAACAGTCCCTGCCAATATTGTGTGGACAAACACAAAAAGTCCGACTATAATGACATGAGAAAGCCAGAAGAGAAAGATCAGAGGGAGGGTGGTCCCTGGAGACAAGCAGGAGGGAGAGCAGGTATGGGTGGGTGTGGGTACCAGACACAGGACAGTGTAATGCACTTAAAGCCAATTAGCTGAACATTTTTTTAAAAAGTCTTACATTTTAAAATAAATTAGTTTCAATAAAAATACAAAAAAAGAAAAAATAATAGGAGAAGTAAAGGGCATTTCTGGGATGGGAGCAGGTGCGACAGGGGTGCTCAATGGGTGGTCCAGGCTATGTGCCCACTGGGAGCCACAGGTCTGTTTCTCAACCTGGAGCTCTCTTTCAAGTGGGTTGGTAATGCAAGATGAGCTGGACTTTCATATCTTTTCCTTTATCTTATGTTTAGGATCTACTTCAAGTGTGTATGTTTCTAAGTGCTTTATTATTCTATTTAGCTTGTTGATGTTAGTATAAATAATGTCTCCACATACTCTCTTGTTCAGTACTGGTGTAGAGAATCACAACCTCTAATGACAGGGAGCTGGACATTTTTGGTTTTGCCTGCTGGATGTGTTCCCTGTTACAAAGCAGATTTATCTTTTCTCCAGGCTGGACATTAGTAGTAGTAGTAGTCAGTAGTAGTAGTAGTAGTAGTAGTAGTAGTAGTAGTAGTACTTTTATTTGCAAATAACACTGCTTTGAGGCAAAGGGTTTAAGTTTAGGGCAGCCACAGCAAACCAAAGAGGTAGACTCAAAATGAAAAAGGAAAAGACCATGGATGTAGCTCAGTGGTAATGTGCCCCTGGGCTCAAGCCCAGTAACAAAAAGTAAAAATAAAAAACATAGAAAGCATAGATCTCTATGGCATTTGCCCTTCTAAGGAAACATAATTAGTCCCTGCCAACTTTACACAGCCCAGAAGAAATCAGACTGCACTGGTTTAAAAAATGCAGACTCAGCATATCACAGGACTAGAAGCTAAGGGGTCGCTAGGGACTAGCAGGAGGGTGGGGAGGCAGTGGTCATGGATACCGAATTCCAGAAGATGTTCTGGAACTGCATAGTGGTGACTAGTGCACAGTTTAGAGAAGGCACTTGATGACAAATGACTGCATCTTTTAACAATGAAAATAAATCTTTAATTCTAAATAATAGAATAATAAACACAGATTATAAAAACAAACAACCAAATGATCTGGGAGAAGAACAGAGGCTCTGGATTCCTCTCTAGATGCAGTGCTGACTGAAGGGCCAGCAGGGGGTGTTGACCCTGATCATCCACTGCAGGTTTGTCCAGCTCCAGTTCTCTATCAGATGGTGGAGATGGTGGACCTCGAATTGGAGCTTCCACAAGCACCAGAGCGGCTAGAGGAGTAAAAGTCCACAGACTATCCATGTTAGGTCCAGGGACAGAATATTCCCTACTGCCTTTCATACAATTCCACACACAAACCCAACCCCAGGCAGTGTTCCCAGAATGCACACAGACAATGACAGCTCTGCCTCTGGTTGTTCCTGCCCCGCCCCAGTTCCTGTGCAGTATGCTCTGCTTGTCCATCCCTGTCCCATTCTGACATACTCATACCCCACCTCAGTCCTCCTCACCTTCCGCCTGTTCCTCCATGGGCTCCAGGTTTCCTGTCAAGGCTGGGACCTGGTGTCCTTTGTCGTCCTCCTCGGGGCCTGTGACAGTGACCTGGCTGTGGACATTACCAAGTGGGTAGTGAGGCAAATGCAAGTGAGAGAGGCAGGAGACCACCCAAGACAGATGGGTCCAGCAGTATGAGAGTCCTGGCCTTTCCTACCATGAGGTCAGTGATCTTGGCACCCCACAGTTCAGAGGAGAGGGCTGAAGCTCAGAGAGGCCCAGGGCCAGTTCGAGGACTCACAGCTGTATGTGACCCTGTCACCCTGGGCAGGGCTTACCTTCCCAACATTTGGCCCATCTCTTGTTGGGTGGAGGAACTCGAGATGTTTGAGGCCGAAGAGGATGAGTCAAAGAAGAAGATGGGCTCCAGGGTGTCCTCCAGGTCCCCCAGGGAGTACGCCTGGAACACATATCCAATGCTGGTATCCTCCCCTCTGTAGCCACCTTCTTGGTTGGGACATTGAGGAAACAGAGTCAGTGCCAAACTGACCACCAGAAGTGTCTGGGGATGGAGTCCAGTGCTATTTCGAAAGCACATAGGGGCTTGTCCCACAGAGGGACAGGAGAGCCCCATCAGAGCAATGGCTGGCAGAGCTCACAGTGGAATTCCTGAGGGGATAGTTAGAAACACAGCAGCTTCAGGCCAGTTTGTTAGCTGAGCAGAGGTGGCAGCTACCTGCATTAGGAGCTTATCCTCTGAGTCCCACCAGCACATCACCTTCTGGAGATGGGAAAACAGACTCACCCCAGACAGGAGGGTCCCTGTATGAGGACACCCAGGACATCATTGTCTGTGGTGCTGTTGAAATGGCCCCAGGAGGGAATGAGGTCCAGGTCCCACAGCCCTGAAAGGCTGAATGGCTGTGGAACCTGGGTCCCCCTGGAAGGTGGTGAGGTCCTGGGGGCCCAGATCCTGCTTTCCCAGTCTGTGTTCCTTGAGACACAAGTACCAGAGAAATGGACCAATTGGCAGGATCCTTGTGATGTTTCAGCTAAAGGCAGCCCTAGTAATCCTGATGCTGTGTAAGACTTGGAGAGTGTGTGGAAGGACCGTCAGGCCATTGTCACCTAGACACCTGGGTGTTGGAGTTATAGTCAGTTGGATGGCAGAGTACAAATCATCAGAGAATTGAAATGAAATAATGTCCATGTCATTGTTCTGATGATGTCAAAATTATGGGAACAGTGACCTTGGATGAGTCCAAGAATGAGGCAGGCAGAGAGGGTGGGGAGGATGGGTGAGCATTTGTTGTTCAGATTCCCCACGATGGGGACCCTGCCCTCCACCTCCCAACCCTACCAGGAAGGTGGTCCTGGTGGTGTCTTTCCTCTTATTCACTTTTATTCTGCTCTGTACCCTGCACGTACAGTCCCCTCCCGCACTCACCCTGAGGCCCAGCTCCTGCCCAGTGGTGCATGGCTCTTGATATTCCTTGTTGAGGATAAACTGTGGAAAGAATGGAAGACAGTGCCTGGTAGCTGGCCAGGAGCCCCAGCCCCTGCTCGCTTCCATTCAGGGTGTTTGTGTCTCTTGTGACCTTCTGCTCCCTCGACCTCATACAGATCCTGTGTCTCAGGCTTCTACCCTGTAGGACAGAAAATGACACTGGGTGCCCAGGATGTACTGTGGACACTTTCATTGCCCACCTTTATCCCTGTCCTGGGGGTGACCATGATAGGACAGGAGGCTTACAATCTCCCACCACCTATTCCTGCCTCAGGTCCCTGTTCTCCCCTACTGAGGAGCAAGGTGGTGGGGCTCTGCAGGGCTACTCACGGTGATGTTCTCTCCTGGATGTACCTCACCAGGGCTATGAGGTGTGGATCTAAAGCTCCTCCTCCCACTTGGGGGAGTGCCCATTGGAGGTGTACGACCATCGAGGCACTTGCAGGAGGATCTAAAGCATCATCGCAGTCTTTTCCAAAAGTTCCTTTTTTGGGTTTTCCGTTGGTTTGGTTTTGGGGAGGGGCCGTGCAGCCCTAGGGGGAGCTCTGGCGGCCTGGCCTCCTAAAGGGTAGGCCTCCACAGGGGAAGCAGGAAAACATGTTTTGGCTTTCAAAGTTTTTCACCAAATGAGCTGGGAGGAGGCGGTTGCTAGAATGTGGGTGCCTGGTTACTGGGTTCCAAGTTCTGTTTGGCTCTATGACCAAGGAAGGGAGGCCATGTCTTGGGGGTTCCTGGCCTAACCCATCCTCCACATAAGCCCATGTGTGTCCCTCTGTTGGCTCTCCTCCAGCCCCATGACTTTTTATGTGTGTACACAGCCAACCCCAACACTGGCCCCACATCCCTTGACAGGCCAGGGTGCAGCCAGGGCCCAGCTCTGAGGAGACACAGCTAGGTTTCAACCCAGCTCCTCCTCCTGTCCTCTCATGGGTCTGTGGACAAGTCATCATGCCTGTAAGGCTTAACCAGTGTTCCCCTGCACAGGGGCGTCATCCTAGAATCTACTTCCTAGCAAAGTCACCAGACATGTGTGAGATGACACAAACCAGGTTGTCACATGTCTATAATGCACAAAAGTAGAGGTAAAATATGGAAACAGGTAAACTGTCACATAGAGTAGAGCTAAGAACAGGCATTGTCTCTCGCCTCATGACTGAAAATGCCATTTTCCTTCCTGGCCTTCTTTCTCCATCTGCATTTTGAGGGGGTTGAAATGCAATTAGTGGGGATATCCTCACCTCCCAGAGCCACCCACCTTGTTACCTTGTTCTCTTTGGCATGACTGAGAGTAAGCACAAGCCTAGGCACCTTAGGGACCCCCAACAATGAAATTCTGGCCTTTTCCCCCTTTCCATTCTCTGCATCCCAGTCAGGGTACGTGGAGACAGGCTGCCCTTATTCCATGGAAGTGCTGTCTCTCTCCTCTTTCTTCTTCTTGTTTTTTGGTCTCAGGGAGTGATCCCAGGGGCGATTAACCCCCAAGCCTCATCACCAACCTGGTTTTCTGTGTTTTATTTTGAGGCAGGTTGTCACAGTGTTGCTGAGGTTAACTTTGAACTTCTGATCGTCCTTCCTCAGCCTCCCAAGCTGCTGGTATCACAGATGTGCACCACCATGCCTGGCCTCTCCTTTTCCATGTCACCTCCTGGGGCCTCCATTTTCTCTATCCTACTCTCTGATCTTCACGTGTATGCCTCTTTTTTGTACCTATTTGGAGGCTGAAAAAAATATTGTCACATGGTAAAAGCAGGCAGGAGTCCCCAGGATCACAGAAGTTCTTTATCCAAAGGAAACACTATGGGAGATGACTTAGGCCTGAGCTACAAAGTGAGGACTCTGCCTTTTCTTCTGGATTCTATCCTTGTCCTATTTTCTGGGCCAGTCCCTATGTGACACTGGGCCTCAGTTTCCCACTTGTGCAGTGAAGGGTTAGAGAGGAAGTGACACATAGGCCTTCTGCTGCATAGTTTCCCAGGCTGGGCAGGGTTGCAAAGGGTGGCTGCAGAGTCCCAGGTTACTGTCTTCCCAGCGTAGGTGCAGGTGTGCCCTGCTTGGTGCAGCTTGGCCTTGTGTTCCCAGCATGTATATTCTACCATTGTCACAGGCATGGAGACAGTGCCACACAACACACTCCTGGGTCTCTCATCCTTCCAATGTGAGATCCTTTTTGTCTCATCTCCCCAGAGTCAGAAAGTGTAAGCCTCTCTTCACTGCATGGGTGTGGGGGGAGGAGTGGATCCCCAAAGCGAATGTGAGGTGCCGTGACTAATAGAAGTGGGCTTAGATGGGAGTCTGGCGAAGGAACCAGATCCACACAAATGTCTGTGACACTCTTGGTCCTGCCTCCTGATCAAACAGGATTAGGTATGTCTTAGAGGAGGGAAGGGTCTGGCCTGAGTCCACATGGTGAGTTAAGTAGATGCTGTGGCCTCAGTTGGAGTCGATTTGCTCCCCCACTGCAGAATACTCAGCATCATGTTAGTTGGCCATTTTATTTTTTTTCTTGTAAGAAATCTCCTTTTAGATTTTTTTTTTGCCCATTTATTTGGCTCATTAAGGTTTTCCGATTGTTAGTGTACAATATTTATATAATATTTCTGATTATTCATACCTTGTGGAAGGGTATCTTACATTTTCTCTGATTCTGTCGGCTCTCTTTTCACTGTTTTCTCTCCTGTACAGAATCTTTTTACTTTGATGCTTTCACACTTGTTCTCACTTTTATTTCATGAGTTTTAAGGATCTTATCAAGGAAGTCAGTACCCCTTCCAATGTGTTGGAATCTTTTCCACATTCCTGTAGCAATTTGGTGTTTCTGTTCTAATTCCTAGGAAAGTGAAAGATAGGGATTTATTTTCATCCTTGTACACATTGCTATTGAATTTTCCCAGCCCCAATTATAAAGAGACTCTTGTTTTTCCAATGTGTGCTTTTGGCACCTTTGTCATAAATCAGATTTATGTGGATCTGTTTCTGTGTCTTTAATCCATTTTTAGTTTTTGTGTGTGTGTGTGTGCACGCGCACACGCACGCGCGTGCATCTGGTCCAGAACTTGCCTGGACTATGTATCACTTGTATGCATTGTGAACTATCTGTTGGTGCAGTGAATTGTTGTAGTGCTGGCGTATCTTTGCTGATGGTGTCATCGGTGGTACAATTTTCCCAAAGGAGCCGTCAATTGCCTTGGTGTCATGGCATTTCTGTATCCTCCTCCCTTCTGCTAGTGATTTTCGTTCAGCTAATACTTGGGGGCCAACAGAGGTGAGGCAAAGATCTCACCCCCCCCACTGGTACCATGGCCAAATTTGGGGGCCAACAGAGGTGAGGCAAAGAACGTCACCCCCCCACACACACTGGTACAAAGGCCAAATTTGGGGGCCAACAGAGGTGAGGCAAAGAACCTCACACCCCCACTGTTGCAAAGGCCAAATTTGGGGGCCAACAGAGGTGAGGCAAAGAACCTCACCTCCTCCACTGGCCTATCCACAAGTATGGCTGTATGCTGAACCAGTAGTCATTGACGGGTATGATCCAATTGCAATGGTACCAACCTAAGACAGGAGGCTGATGCCTTGAGGTCACCTCATCGGATGATGGGTAAGGACCATATGTGGAATTGGACAACCTAAGACAGGCACAGTCCCTAAACCACATGCTTGGTGTTTAATTAAACAGAAGTGGGGAGATGCTGAGAGCCACAGCCAAGTTAGAATGAGGCATGGCATTTTTTCCAGAAGGAAGTGGTTGAGAGGTGATGCCAGCCATTGAGATGAAGATGGTTATGTTAAGGTGTGTATTCAATTGTATATTAGACCCCTGCAGTCCGTGTTGGCCCTGCTCCTTTGGAGTTCATGTGCTGCTTTGGAGTTCTGGAGCTACTTTGGAGTTCTCACAGGGATTCCTGGAGAGTTCGAGTTGGTTGGGGAAGTGCTGGAGGAGGTATTTCCAGTTGGTGGGTTTTCCTGGAAGGACCCCGTGGGTGGCCTTCGCAGGAGTTCGGAGAATAAAGGAGTTCCTATTTTGAATCTACAAGTGCCTCGTGGTGGCTTGGTTATTTTGTGCCCAGCCAGACTGTGGCAATTCCCTAAAAGAATAAAAAAATCAACAAATAAATGACCTAACATTACATCTCAAAGCCCTAGAAAAAGAAGAAATCAACACCAAAAATAGAAGACAGGAAATAATTAAAATCAGAATTGAAATCTATGAAATTGAAACAAAAGAAACAATTGCAAAAAAAAAAAGACAAAATGAAAAGTTGGTTCCTTGACAGTATGAATGAAACTAATAAATCCTTAACCATGCTAATGAAGGGAAGAAGTGGGAAAACACAAATTACTAAAATTAATGATGAAAAAAATATATCATGACATTCACTATTGAAAAATAAGATACCCAGGGTAGACAAAGCAATCATTAGCAAGAAAACTCAAGCAGGAGCCACCACAATATAAGACCCTTAAACTATATTACAGAGCAATAGTAACAAAAATGGCATGGTGTTAGCACCAAAATAGACATGTAGACCAATGGTACAAAAATAGAAGACACAGAGACAAACCAACATAAATAAGATATATGAGTGTCATAAAAAGATGCTCAGGGTCAGTAGTCTTAAGACAAATGTAAATTTAAAACACAATGACACACAATTGAGCAACAGAATGCTTAAGAATTAGACTGCTGTAGTTTGGACCTGAAGCCTCCCCTGATGGCCCATGTGTCAAAGCCTTGGTCCCCAATCCCTGGTGCTACTGGAGGAATGGGATCTTCAGTGTATGAGCCCTAGTGGGAGGAGGTTAGGTTGAGGTTAGGTTATCAGGAGTGTGCCCTAAAAATGGACATTGGGAAACCAGCCCTTCCTGTCTGTCATTTGGATTCCTGGCTGCTGTGAGGTGAACTGCTTCCTGACCAT